GGATTTCAGTGTAGTGGATGGGAAATAGGTTTTTCAAAAATTCATGAAGCTGATTCTTTCTGATCATAACTCAGACAACTTTGACAGGGTGAAGTAGGGGCAGGAGTAAAATAATGGATGGGATATTTTTACTTCTTTCTTGGTCAGAATTTATTATGTTCATCTAACTTGACTTCAAAGGCAATTTATCATCAACCTGACTATTAAAAATTCCCCTCTCCAACTTAAAGGTTACCCCCCCTTTCCCTCCTCCATCAGTCTTATCTCTGCTTTTGCTCTGTTGGCAATCCACGTTGGGCCAGTCCGAGCATGTCTATTGTGCACCATTAAGGGTCTGGAAATGTTTCTTGCCCAATTTCTTCCTCATCCTCCCCCCACCCTTTGTGTTGATTCTCCAAACTGTAAGCTACTATAGCAGGTAGCTAGCTTTTTCTACATCTGATATGACTGCATATGTTTGTTTGAAGCAAAATAAACTGTACTGCCGCTCCAATCACAGTACTCTGGTACACAGCTCAATGCATCTGGTCCACTTCTTCATCATATCATGCCCCGATTTGTGGGGCAGAACACTGGGCCTACAAATACATTGTGACTCAGACTATCTAGCTCATTCTGCCATCATTATTATGCTTTTTCCACACATGTCACAGTCCAGGACTGAAAGCTATTTTGCTGCATCAAGGGAATGTGCCCTTCTGTGAGAAGATTCCTCCTCATTGCAGCTTTTGAGATGAAAGCATATGTGTTAGATTTTATCAATTACACAAATGTATTAGAAATAGTCAATATATTTTATTTTACTTTTAGTATAGCTAACTAAATATATTACGGGAAAGAGCCATTCCTTTTGGTGAATTAACAATCTTGCATGCAAGCCTAAAACATGGTTATGTGTGTGTATGTGTGGGGGGGGCTTTCAGCAAACTAACTTGCATGTTTGTTTTCATTACTGATCAATTTGATAGTCTCACCTTCCCACAGCTATAAGAAATCACACCTCTTCCTCACTCTGATGACCATGTTTACTGCCTTTGCTTGTAACCACTCTTTCCAAGATGCTCATAGAGAAGGGTGTTGTTTAACTCTTCTCTGCACAGTACGGTTTTTCTCCAGCCACCTGAGCCTGAGAAATCCATTTCTTCCTACTTTTACTCTTTTTTCTTCTTTTGACTTCTGATCCTTTGCTGAAGTAGTGAGTAAAACATATTTTCCATTTTTTCTAACTAAAGGTGATCTCTTAAATGTTATTTCTGCAATATGCTAGTTGTGGAGAGAAAGAAGTCAGCTCCAGAAGACTTATGGCTGATTATTTCTGACTTTCACTGAACTTCTGCCATGTAACCTAGTGAATTAACCAAATCAGATTCATAAAAATCACATCATTTCTACAGCAGAGTGAAGACACATAAACATTCTTGCAGCAACAAAGAAGCCTCAGGGTTATTAACGCAGGCATCCTATCCTTTGAATAAATAGACTAAGGGCATGGATAAACTCTATCCATCATTTTCACTTTGAACAAACCAAAGGTAGCAGCCAATGGTTGCAATTTGAGAAACAACCTGTAAAAAAGAGGACTTAAATGGAATACCAATATTAACAACTTATTTGTGGTGCTTTGTGTAACTATTTGTAAAAGCTAACCTATGCATTCTGGATTTCGGACCTTAGGGTGTGTATGTATGGATTTTTATGCTGGCATTAACAAGCACTTTCCCGATGCCTCACATTTTAATGTGCCTTCTGATAGATTTCACTAAGAAAAGAAGGTGTGGGCAAGGGGGGGCAGGGGACAAAATTTCATTCATATACTCAGGGAACTTCTGCTCGCTGTGACCCTGGCTCGTTGTTCTGAAACCTTTAATGTCATTTACAAACTACAACAACACAAGCAAAACAGGAGAACTAAAATTACACTAATTTCACAAATTTGGAGCGAGAACCAGGGGACAATTTCAGAATTGCAAATAGGAAACCTGCAACGGCAGCGGTCAGGGAATTACATTCATCACTCATGAAAATAGAAAGAATTGACTCAGAAGCATTGGAAAAATAAGAGATCCAAGGTTCAAGAAAAAAATTTTGGAGAATGAGCAGGGCATTGAAACAGTCTATAATCCAGGGTATCAGAAGCCTCTAAACAAAAAAAAAATATCTTTTTTTATGAGGAATATTAAGAAATCAACTAGGGCATTGAAACAGTATATGATCCAGGGTATCAGGAGCCTCTAAACAAAAAAACACGATCTTTTTTCATGAGGGATATTAAGAAATCAACCGGCATGGGTGGCCCTGGCTCTGTTTGGCCAAAGAATGGGTTAATTTTTGTCTGACACAGCTTGCTTGGAAAATAGCACTTTTAACCAAATGCACAGCTTGAGTAGCATTAGGTTCTTTAGTCTACACAATGAAGTGCTCTTGTAAAGTACCCAGAGGACGATAGCAGCAATAATACCATATCTTTTCCACTAAATGGGAATTGTGTTGAAAAGTAATAATAAATAATCATGTGGGATCACTGGTAGCAAACGTGTGTGCGGTCACTGGAAATTAACCAATTTGAGCCTTCCTGTTTGAATTGCCAGTATCATGAATTGGCACAGTAATGTGCCTTTAGCTTCTAATGACATGTCACCTATATCATCTGAGTAATGTGCCTTTAGCTTCTAATGACATGCCACCTATATCATCTACAGTGGTGCCTCGCTAGACGATGATAATCCGTTCCACTGAAATTGCTGTTTAGCGAAATCATTGTCTAACGAAAAGCATTTCCCCATTGGAATGCACTGAAACCTGTTTAATGCGTTCCAATGGGGAAGAATTGTCGTTGTCTAGCGAAGCTCGGCCATAGGAAAGCCGCTTTGCGAACCGCCGGATCAGCTGTTTAAATTGCTGTCTTGCAAAGCTTTGTCTGTTTAAATTGCTGTCTTGCGAAGCTTTGTTCCTGAAAACACCTGTTTTACAAGCACGGAGGAAGCTGTCAAAATCGTTGTCTAGTGAAAATCGGTTTGCGAAGCAGGGATCAAACATTGTCCAGAGAAATTCCCCCATAGGAACCACTGTTTTGCAAATCGCTATAGCGATCGCAAACAGTCAATGCCTAGTGAAAAAACAGTCATGCAGGGTAACTGTCTAGCGAGGCACCACTGTATTTTGATCTAAGTCAAGTTGTTGGAGACTGTGTCCATCTCCACCAATCACTTGCAACTGCCAGGGCTCCGTTAATTGTTAGTTTAGAGAGGTAGTTTGTGTCCATCTCCACCAATCACTTGCAACAGATTATCACTTCAACTGCCAGGGCTCCGTTAATTTTTAGTTTAGAAAGGTAGTTAGAATTCTCAGCTAGAGAGAATTCCATCTCACACTCTGAAGTGCCTTATTGAAGTGTGATCTCAGGATTCTGTAGGATGTCACCCTGACAATTCAAGTGGAATCAAACTGGTGGAACCCTGCAATGCAGCTGCACTCTTACATCCTTAGCAAGAAGTGGAGCACTTGTAAGGGAAATTTCAAGGCAAACGAAAGCAAGGATGACTCTGATTTTCTGTACAGAAGAGTATTGTACTTGACTCTGGGTGAGTGAGTTTCAGAACCGATTCTTGGAAGTTCACGTTTAAGGCTGTATCTTGTTAATTAATGAATTGCATGGTGTTAGCCTATTTGAATTTGATTGTAGAGACAAGTGGTTGGGTGGGTGTACAAGAGCACAGAAGGCCAAGATATTCTCCTGCATGTAAAAGGACATCATCTTAAAATCTAAAGGCTTGAAGGCCAATTCACTGTAAAATGGCAGGTCTGCGTTGGTGATTGTGTTATGTTAAATAATGGATTCCCAGTAAAGTGATGGTTGTGCCAAAATCTGTTCACCATGGGACAGCAGGGGTCAGAACAGTGGAGCCCAGTGGTGGACCTGCGAGCTGAGAATGACCTGTGGACTGTAGCAAAAGCTATTCATGGTCAGTTTGTTGTATATCTATTGATCCTCATGAGTCTAGACAGCAGGGAGAGTTCATGGAGTAGAATGGTACCTCCCCCAAAATATGCTGGGGAAGGACAGACTTCACCCTGCCTTTGTCGTGCTGGTAACCTTCATCTTCTTGACCCACCAACAAGAGACTAGGATCACTGTGCCAGGAGTTAATCTCATAAATACAGATTTGGACTGCATGTGTGCCTTCAGTGGCCAGAAGCTTACTATTTAGTGTAATTGTGTAAACTGCAGCAGTGAATTGCCACTCAGTCATAAGTTGTCGATTGTGTCCTTGAACTGGTGCACAACAAGGGAGACACGCAGCAACTAGTTAAGGAACAGAAATTTCCCACTGCAATTAATACCACTGCATTGATACCCATGTTAACTAACCAACTGAATTCTGGCCAAGGCAATCTGTCAGTAAACAGGCATACTCAAAGAGACTCAGAGAAATGTGTTGTAAGTAGGCTACAACACCTTAGATCCAAAAGTCTGGAGGAAGTCAAGTTGGAAATTGCAATCTGCAGTGTTAAGTGCAGCCAAAACATGGGCATCCTAAAATGCTTCCATGTCCTTTTTAGTAAGCAATTCCTTCTTCTGTCACTTTTGCTGTTATTGTCATGGCTTTCTCACATAGACTATACACCTATGGGCTGGAGGGCAATAAAGGCAGATTGTGAGTATGATGTTCCAGCATGTTGTGTGTCACATTGCAAACAGGGCATAAATTGTCTAGAACAGTGGTCCCCAACCTTGGGCCTCCAGATGTTCTTGGACTACAACTCCCAGAAGCCTTCACCACCACCTCTGCTGGCCAGGATTTTTGGGAGTTGAAGTCCAAGAACATCTGGAGGCCCAAGGTTGGAGACCACTGGTCTAGAAGACCTGTGCAAGCGAAACATGTTTTCCCTTCCGATGGCTTTTTCTTCAGTTAGAAACACTGCACAAAACACCAATTAGTCCAAATGTTATGTAACAGTTATTTATTTATTTTTAGCATTCAAATCTGTATTATTTACAACTGATCTTAGACTGCAGCCCACATTCAGAATTTAAGCTGTGGCAGCACTAAAGATAAAGAAGACAACATATTTGCAGCTATATGTCTGAAATTATTGTTATTATCATTATTTTTTAAAAAAGAAAAAATGGCATTTAAAGAAATTGTTATTTTCAATTATAAGGTCATATACACTGTTTCTGCAAGTTGCTGTAAAATCCACCATAAAAATCCTCCTTCTGCTGCATACTGAATGAGATGAAGACTGCTTTGGGTCAGGAATGTAAGCAAGAAGAGTTCCATTTGCAAGTACAGAAATTTTTAGCAGTTCAGTTTTTGACAATAAAGGCCCTTCCACAGTTGCCTGGTGCCAGTTAGGGGCTCCACCCTTCTTCTCTTTCGTTGACTCCTTCCTCTTCTTCTGGAAATGCTGATTCATTCTGGTTTTTTAGATGCTTAATCCCTGTAAATGTAAAATTGATTTTTTTGATTTATTGATATTTACCCCAACTTTCTTCTTTAAAAAAAGACCCAATGCATAATCATTAAAAGACAATATTTGAAAGCTAAAAAAGTAAGTATAGAGATATTAAAAAGAATCAAACAAATATGATGCTAAAATGGTAAATAAAGTCAACACCAAAAAATAGATTCAAAGCAACAAGGTACAACACTCCTTTTAAAACCCCCAGTTTTTGCAGGACTGCTCAAGAGTACTTTTAGTCTTGTGGTATCCAGGAGACATAAGAAGAGGCTCCTGAAGGAAGGGCAATCAAAATTCTCAGCTGGAACATTGCTGGCTGGAACAGGGCCTCGTTAGATACTGAAACCCTTTCCTTTTTAACAAATTTCGACTGTATCATGCTACAGGAATCCCGGCTCTGCAACTCCTCTGACATAAACAGGTATAACTCCTGCCTACTCATGGAGAAGCTCTAAGGATGCCCCTAAGGGGGACTGCTTTGTTTTACATCAAGTAATCTAGGAAAATCATCTCTTCTTCTCCTATGTCTACAAAGCTATCTATGATGGTAAAGATAGCTACCAACCCCAAGGAAAGCTTGCCGGTAAATATTTTCCTTCCTGCAAAAACGTTTAGTAGAGACATTGATAATTAGCGGCCAAACTTAGAAGAATATCTGCTAGATCTTTAGAGCAGCCACCCGCAAGCCATCTTAATAATTGGAGGTGACTTGAATGCCAGGATTGGTTTGGGTGACAGCAAGCTGCTCCTCTCCAAGTTCTTCACTAACACCACAGCAGGAATCCACCATTCTAAGGACAATCAATAGACCAGGGGCCAAACTGATGAACATGACTTCTAGACTATCACTTGCAATTGTTAATGGCATTAATATCATTGACCCCTTTGGAGATTGCACATTTATCTCCTCTCAAGGAGCAAGTGTCATCGATTATATGCTGATTGTAGACTCCAGCTTTTCTAAAATACTGGAATTAAAAGTAAACAATCAAGGTACAAGTGACCACCTACCCATTTCCATCAAAGTATCAATAGAGGCGACATCAAGTCCAAACACTAGCCTAATCGGACCTCAGGCACTGCCCTCTAGGTGAAGATGGTCCAAAGGATCAGCCAAAGTTGTAATAGAAATATTTCATACTGCAGAAGCAGAAGAACTAGAAAAGGAAATTTTGGCTGAGCAAAATTCCCACTTAGCTCTGGAACAGCTGGTGTCAAGTCACCAAACTATATGATGCAGTTTGACTGAATAGTAGAAAAAGGAAAAGGAGACAAAGCAAATTTCATTCTCACACAAAGAGATGGTTTGACAAAGACTGTAGAAAGGCCAAAAATCATACTGAATGATCCTACAAACTCTTCTTTATTACAAATCAGAAGGAAATACAAAATCACACTGAAAGAGGAGAAATATCAGTCGACAAGGTCTGTATAAGCCAAGGTAACTGCAGCCACAAAAGAGAAGCCAAATGTATTCCTCTGGCACGTAATTACTCCCATCTTAAAGCCACGAGGCAACATTCACATTTTAGTACCAGCAGCGTCCTGGGAAAAACACTTAGAGACTCTCTATAAAAGGCATGAATGAGAACTGGACTTAAATTTTGAGATCAATCTCAAACAAATTCCTGAATGGGAATGTGTCACCTGTCATGAAGTTGCTAAATTGATCAAAAAGTTAAAATTGTAGAAATTCCCTGGCCTGGACTCATTTCCTACAGAACTGCTAAATACAGCCCCAAATTGGTGGGCACAGGTGCTTGCACCTTTATTTACCCTAATCAACAAGGATGGAAATATTCCAGTTTCATGGAAAACATCATTGGTTGCCCCCATATATATAAAAAATGTAACAAGACTGATCCAAAGAACAACAGACTGATCAGCAAGCCTTATGCATCGCTCTTAAAAAGAAAGTTGATGCGCTGGGCAGATGACGAGAAGATACTGGGTGATGAAGAAGGAGGCTTCAGAAAAGGCCACTCCTACCCAGAGCTGGCGTTTAGGTACAACAGAACAACTTGGAAAAACTCCAGCTAGCCTTCCTTCACAATCACTCACTAAGGCAAAGAGAAAGGTTTTTGCCTGCTTGCAGAAGGACAGCAAAGATGGGGCCCAGCCTGACTTCCTGTGGGAAGGGGTTCTGGAGTCTGGACGCAGCGACAGAGAAGACCCTCTCTAATATCCCCACCAAATTCAACTGTGAGAAAGGCCTTATCTGAAGATCCTAACGTCTAGGCAGCTTCATAAAGGGAGATACGGTCCTTGAGATAGCTTACACCCAAGTTATTTAGGGCTTTATAAATTAAAAATAGCACTTTGGATTGTGCCCAGAACTGAATCAGCACTGAGCTGCTGTAACAGTGGGTTTGTGCGACCCCTATAACCAGCCCCATTTAACAATCTGGCTGCAGCATTTTGGACCTGCTGACGTTTCTGAGCACTTTCCAAAGGCAGCCCTCACATACAGTGCATTGCAGTACTATCAAAGTTATGTGTCACCGTGACCAGATCGGACCTCTCCAGCAATGGGTGTAGCTGGCACACTAGTTTTAACTGTGCAAAGGAACTCCTGGCCACTGCTGAAACCTGGGCATCCAGGCTCAGAGATGAGTCCAGGACAAGCTGTGTTTTCAGAGAGAGTCCAACCCTGTTCAGAGCACAACAGGCTACAACCCTAGTTTGTCCTTGCCCTAACAACAAGCATCACATGCTTGTCATACTCCTAACCTGTTGGCTCAGGCTCCACAAGGCCATGAATGTGGAAGGCAAGGCAGCTGATCCCTTATCAGAGCTGCTCCATGATCAGGAATGTTCTTGTGCCATGGTACAAATGGTGCTTGCTGATCCTTCGTGCTCCCGTGCTTTGTCTCGGTCTTTCAGGCCCCTATCTGTATGGGGAGGACAAAGACGCTTCACTTTCTCTCAACCCTATATTGCTTTATGAAACATCTGAAGCTTTCCGTGCCGCTAGTTAAGATCGACTCAGTATTCCCTGGGCTAGGCACACTCGCCCTTTTTTTATCTTCTGTACAAAGACACGGGCTTGTCCAATTGTTGTTTATGAGAATAATATACTTTTCTCTGTACAACGGAAAAATAAAGCCTGGGCCTTTGGCCCTAAACTTATAAAACTTCTTTAAATAAGCCAATGTTAATGTTCAACTTTGCTATTTTAAGACAAAACAATACCAAAGTCTAAAAATAGATGCTTTCTTAAAATATAAAACAAAAGTAGCCCATGTTTGGTCCATGGGAAAAAACATAATGCAAAATTCATAGGGAGACCATGGCTTTATCTCAGGACTAACTAAAACCCAAAAAGATTGTAGTTCTTTGGCATATTTATATCTTTTTGGGTTTTAGTTAGTCCTCAGATAAAGCCATGGTTTTAGTTAGTCCTGAGATAACCCTATACTGTATATAATGTCCATGTCTGTATCTAAGACTTGTTATCGGTGGACCAAACTCCAAAATGCTTTAACCTCATCCCAGTTTCTGTAACAGACCAGGTGGAGGATGCAGGGGAGTGAAGATGGCCACATACATACTGTCCCAAAAGGTGACATGCAGGGAACCAGAAGAAAGAACAAAAGGAAAAACAATAGAAGATTCTGCATAAATTTGCACATGATGGTTTATATGTATACTGTAGATGTTAATTTAGCAATAACCCTTATCAAGTTAACTATAATTGTGGTAAATCTTACTATAATGGAAAAAAGGTGACCTGTGGGCCTGATGAATCTGCAGTCTGTAATGTAATTAAATAAATAGCTGGAAATATTTACCAAACCTGCCTCTATAAGATTCTCCTCGGGATTTTTGAAGCCCTATTTTAGTGGATATTTATTTACACTATTGTAGTAATAGTGGATGACTATTACTATTCACTGTCATCCACTACAGAAGTGAAAGACAAATTCTACACAGGCTAGCAGATTCAGTCTTGTCATTAGCCTGCATCACAAACTGACAATTTATCTATTCTTCAACTGTCTGTTTTAGGAAACTGTTAACAGCAGTCAGTGAAGACTTGTGTGGCTCCAGGCAAGCCTCATTATTGCTATATAAACACTTCAAATTCGCTGATTTGTTAATTCCCTCACTAGCCCTCCACTGGAAATTGTCAGCAGGTCAGGAAACTTCAGATGAAAGAGCAGAAGCTTCCTGGGTCAACTCAAGGACTGCTTATTTCCCTTTCTAATCACTTTGGCTCATCTTCTGAAGTGTAATATAGTAAAAGCAAGACCACATATCTGTATGGGTCTCTTTGCCCCTGCCGCTTGTAGTGGGAAAACTTGTATTTGATGTATACTTGGGTTTTTTAAAATCTGCAGCTAACCATTTCTTTAGGACCACCTGACTGTAACTTTAATAATAAATGTGAGCCAGCTGATTATGACTTCTGGTGACCCTCTCCAGGGTTTTCAAGGTGTACAGAATATTCAAAAGTGGTTTACAGTCCCCTTCTCCTGAACACCTTGTGGGACTGCGCAGCTTGTCCAAGGCCACACAGCCTGGCTCTTCTGCCTCCCAACCTCTGCCTCTGTTCCTTTACCTGCTTGAGAATGGTCAGTCACTCATTCCTTTTTTTACCTCCATCCATTCCTTCTACTCAGAAAGCATGATCAATTAATATGTCCCAATTTATATCAAATGTCTTCCACCCACACCCCAGAGTATGCAAATTAGCTTTGCTCCATGGGCTAAACCGCAGAAGCCTGTGCTGCAGGGTCAGAAGACCAAGCAGTCGTAAGATTGAATCCACGCGACGGAGTGAGCTCCCGTCGCTTGTCCCAGCTCCCGCCAACCTAGCGGTTTGAAAGCATGCAAATGCAAGTAGATAAATAGGGACCACTTCGGTGGGAAGGTAACAGCGTTCCGTGTCTAAGTCGCACTGGCCATGTGACCACGGAAGATTCTCTTCGGACAAACGCTGGCTCTATGGCTTGGAAACGGGGATGAGCACCGCCCCC